CTGCCAACCCCCAACACGGTCCATCTCAAACACAACATTTGGGAAGGTCCTTATAAAAGATGTCAGATCAGGGACGCCTGGGTGGCTCAGTCAGTTAAGCATCTGACCTTTGATCTCAGCTCAGGTCATGACCTCATGGTTCGTGAGATTGAGCTCCATGTTGGGCTCTGTGCTGACAGCACAGAGTCTGCTTAGGATTCTCTCTCCCCTTCTCTCTGCCCTGCTCCCCACTGGCATGCACGTGCTCTCTGTCTCTCAAAATAAATAAACTTTTTTTTTAATGTTTTATTTATTTCTAGGAGAGAGAGAGACAGCGCAAGCAGGGGAGGGTCAGAGAGAGAGGGAGACACAGAATCTGAAGCAGGCTCCAGGCTCTGAGCTGTCAGCACAAAACCCGACGGGGGGCTCGAACCCACGAACCGCGAGATCATGACCTAAGCGAAAGTCGGATGCTTAACCGACTAAGCCACCCAGGCGCCCCTAAACTTTAAAAATAAATAAAGAAATAAAGAATGTCAGATCATGTCACTTCTCCATTCAAAACCTTTTGGTAGCTTCCCTTCTTCCTCAGAATCAAAGCCAAGACCCTTAAAATGGCCTTCAAAGCTCTGCCCAAGGTGGTCCCCCTCTGGTGTCATCTCCTCCAGTCTCCGTTTCACCTGCTCCACTCTTCCTGGTCTCCTCACTCTTCCTTGAGGGCATCAGACCTGTTCCCACCTTCTGCAAATTCCTCCTGATCCTTTAAGGATCACTTCAAGTATTACCTCTTTCAGGACTCTTCCCCACCAACCCACCCTAAACCTGGTGGTTCTCGTTTGTACTTCTAACGTCTGTGGCTAGTACTGTGATTTTCTGCACCGTGTTGTACAATTACGACATCTACATCAGACTGTTTATCTCATCAGCTTGTAAACCCATTAAGGGTAGTGATAGTGTTTGCCTTATTTAGACTATATTCATGAGAGCTATAATAATCAAGATGGTGTATAAGGGTAGACCAATAGATCACAATAAAGGGTTCAGAAATTGACCTACATATACACGGTCGATTGTTTTTCACCAAGGCACCAAGCCAATTTAATGGGGAGAAAGAAGTCTTTTTTTAACGAATGGTGCTAGATCAACTGGATGTCTGGTGTAAGTAAAAGTTGAACCTTGACTTTTATCCTACACCATACACAAAAATGAATTTGAGATGGATCGTTGACTTTAAACCTAGGACCAAGAGGTTTCTATAGGTGTACACAGGATAATAAATCCAGGACCCTGACGTAGGGCAAGTTTTTTGGACTAGATACAAAAAGCACAAACCCTTTATAAAAGAAAAAATGTGGTGAGTTTGACTTCATCAGACTTAAATTTTTCTGGATTATCAAAAGATACCATTAAGAAAACCAATAGACAGGGGAGCCTGGGTGGCTCAAATGGTTCAGCATCTGACTTCAGTTCAGGTCATCATCTCATGGTTCGTGAATTTGAGCCCCGCATCGGGCTTTGTGTTGACAGCTTAGAGCCTGAAGCCTGCTTCGGATTCTGTGTCTCACTCTCTCTCTGACCCTCCCCTGCTCACGCTCTCTCTCTCTCTCTCTCTCAAAAAAATAAATAAACGTTAAAAACTTTTTTAAAAAAGGAAAGAAAACCAATAGGCGAATCACAGACCACACTAAAAATCTAGGGCTCTAAACAGCACACACACAATAAATGCTCAATTAAATATTTGTCAAACAAATGTATAAAAGACCTGCCTCTCTCCCGTCACAGCACACAGCTATTCTGATGGGTGCAGGAGATATCAACACTGTGACTGTTGAGTGGGCAGTGCCCGGTAGAGGGAAAATCTATTGTACTGGAGGAAAGAAAAGTATCAAGGCTATTTCTTAGTTGAAATAAAATGTGTCAAGTCAGCAAACTTAAGAGCTGTCTACAGGTTACAAGGACCCATAATGAATGAGACAAAATAAGGAGTGGATAACTGCAAACATTCACATAAGTAAATTAGCTAAAAATACAGGTGGAATTTCACCAAATGGAGCAGGAAGCATATACCTCACTCCTCATTGCCTCAGCAATGCTGCTGATGTCATAATGAGAGCTGGAGATGCTGCGACTAGCACAGGAAGGCGACGCTACCAAAGCTCTACCTACAGGAACTGGGAGGGGTTTTATCACAAAACCAGGGGTCGGGAAGGAAAAAAAATGCTGGGTATAAAGGGTTAAATTGATCCTATGCTTAAGAAACTGCTTCTGGGCATGGCATAGACTGAGGCTAAACATACATTCTGGTTTGCATCAGACTGTGGAAGCATGTCCCGATGTAATTAACACTAGCTGCTTTTTCACTCTCAGAAGTGTCCTTGTTTCCATAATATATAACATGATCGTCCTCCTTACATGTGGCATTTCTTCCTCTTACTTTGTTTTGTTTTCTTCTTCCTCTTATTTTGGATAGTCACTGAGGATAAGAATAATCACATACTTGCGTATCAGCTGTGTTATTTGTTTCACTTGTTAGGTCACTCTCTGGAAGGAGTCTCAGGCCGAATGAGAGTGAGTGTTCATTCTGATGACCAGTGTAAGACTGGCTGGAGCAACCATACAGGCTGGTATTTAAATTACTTCCCTGATCCTTACTGGAACCAGGTGAGCTGGGCAGTGGGAACCTTCAATGTTATTATTTTCAATTCATATAGTTCTATTTTACTCCGGAAAGCACCAACTTTTTAATCAATATTTTAATCCACAATTTAGTTCAAAACACAATATACTAATCAGTAGTCTTTTTTAAAGACATGGAAACTGAGGCATGGAATGATGCAGTTAAATGACTTCTTTGGGATCATGATCTGCGGTAAAATTATCTAGATGAGACTCCTATTTATGAACAATTTATTTTCAGTTCACCCTTACTACCATCATTCATTCAACAAACACTTATTAAACACCTATTATGTGCCATCAACGTCCTCTCCACTTGATGCATTATTCGGGACCCTGAGTCCTAGATATTCACTGTATGTGCATGGCCTAACATAGGCGATCTGTTACTGAGAAAATGTCAGGTACTAATGTTCAATGTTTGAAGTAAGTTCCATGCTTCTACCAAAAAAAATTTGCTGGAAAGAATGTGCAGTTCTATAGCAAGACAAAAAAAAATTAAGTTTATTTATTTATTTTTGGAGAGAGAGAGAGAGAGAGAGAGAGAGGGGGCACAAGCAGGTGAGGGGTAGAGAGGAGGAGAGACGGAATCCCAAGCAGGCTCTGTGCCATCAGCACAGAACCGATGCAGGGCTTGACCTCAGGAACTGCGAGATATGACATGAGCCGAGATCAAGAATTGGACACTTAACTAACTGAGCCACCCAGGTGCCCCTGCAGGCAGACAAATCTATCTTACTTGTACTCCCGAATTGTACTTTAGGGGTCCAAGCAATAGTGGATGGAGCACTTTGATGGGGAGAGGGAGGCAGCCCTTGCATCCAGTGACGGAAATCACATTCAGCCTTTCTACTGTATGTTTCTAATCTAAAGATTTTTTTAAGCCTCAAAAAGAATGTTTCAAGAGCGCCTGGGTGGCTCAGTCGGGTAAGTGTCTGACTTTTGGTTTCAGCGTTCATGGTCTCACGGTTCATGAGTTTGAGCCCCATGTCAGGTTCTGCACTGAGAGCATGGAGCCTGCTTGGGATTTTCTCTCTGTCTCTATCTTTCTCTCTCTGCCCCTCCTTGGCTCATGGTAGCGCTCTCTCTTTCTCTTTTAAAATAAATACATAAACTTAAAAAAAAAGAATCTTTCATAAGGCTGCTTTTTTACATGATAAAATCAAGTATGGTCTTTAATTAGTGTTTTGAATGGCTCGTACATTTACATTAGCGTCATCACCTTTGGTGTCTTTGACTCCTGAGCCCATCCATCTGCCATGGCTTTGAAATCTCAGACAGGAATCCATTCATATTAACCTAATTTGAAAATAAATCAACTGCTTTCCAGCCCTCTGAATTATGAGGGCTCCTCTCTGTTCTGGTAACCTCTGGAATGGAATTGGTTTTCAAAGGTAGAAAACAGCTCTTTGCTATAGTAATCATTTAACAAAATGAAACAGGCATACATAAGAAGAGGGTTGTTCCTTCTTAATAGCTCAAGCTTTAAAATAAATTCATATATACATAAATGGCTGCTGCTAAGAAAATTTCTAGGTAGCTAGGTACTACGGATAATGAGAACTCTAAAGTTGTACTGAAATTTACTAGATGATCTCAATTAACTATTGTGGGTTTCGTTTAATAATAATTGTTATATAAATAATAGCTAGCTCTTATATATATATATATTATATAATATATTACATATTATGTGATAGGCACTATCCTATGTGCTTTATGCGTACTGACCATTTAATCTAGAAGTCTGGGAGGTAAGTACTCACGTCTCAATTTTACAGAAAAGGGAACTTTAATCAGCACAGGGAGGTCATCAGGCGACTTCACCCAGCTGGGGTTCAAACTCAGTCAGAGAGGCTTCAGTCTTGGGCATCTTAACCACTGTGAAGGGCTATATAATTATTTCTAGAATGTTCTTACAACAATGAAGTAAAATTTTTTTTTGTTTAGGATTTAATATTTGGCATAAGGAAAGCTGAACACCTTGTTATATCCATCTCTAGTCTAGTACAAAGCAGGTTTTCAGTAGGTGTTTTGGGTGAATGAGTTAATTAAGTCCTGAATTATCACAGGCTTTCTCTCAGTTACCTCACAGTCTATTACCAACAGTTTCCTTCTTCCTCTTCTCACTGTCCACCCTCCACCCTACCAACTCGGTTAATGATAAATGTATCCTGTCTTCCCTCTGCTAAGTCCTCACCAACAAGCTTGTACTTCTCATCTTTTAGTGACTGGACATCCTGCTGAGAACACACAAAGGCAGCTGACATCCAGCGGGGCCAGAAGAAGTACCAAAGCCACTGAGAAGAGGCAGAGACTGTGTCCATTTGGGGAGCACAGGGGCTTCTAAGACTGAAACTCTCTTGCCTCACCCCCCAGACCTGCACCAGCCATAGGATGCTTCACTTATTCATTCAACATTACTGAGCCTCTCCCACATGTCAACACTGTGCTAGACATCAGATACATTAGACATTGAACAAGAAAGACATTGTCTTACTTTTTATTGTGATCACTGCCTTCCCACAACTACTCCACAATCGTGTAGTCTTATTCTCTTCATTATTCATCTCCACATCTTTTGAGGATGCTCTCTCTCTCTCTCTCCACTTACTACCTGTATAGAGATCATTATTCATTCATTTCTGTATTAGGTGAGCACCTACTATGCAACAAACACTGTTCTAGGTATAGGGGATACGATTATGAGCAAAGCAGAAAGCACTTCTGTACTAAAGGGGTTCATAATAACCCCCAAGACTATCTATATTTACTACCCTTCATTCTTGCAGTTTCTTTAAAGGACATACAATCATACAAAGTAATAATTATAACAGTATGTTGCATTTTTAACACATATAAAGGCAATAATTATAACAATAATAGCAGAACAAAGGGAAAATGGGAATGGAGCTATAAAGAAGTACGATTTCTTTTTTTAAATTTCTTCTTCAATGTTTATTTATTTTTGAGAGACAGAGCACAAGCGGGAGAGGGGGAGAGACAGAATGAGACACAGAATCCAAAGCAGGCTGCAGGCTCCGAGCTGTCAGCACAGAGCTCAGTGTGGGGCTCGAACCCACAAATTGCGAGATCATGACCTGAGCCGAAGTCAGACACTCAACCAACTGAGCCACCCAGGTGCTCCAAGAAGTAAAATTTCTAGACCTCACTGGAATTATGTTAGTATAAATTTAAACTCGGTTCTCATAAGTTAAAAAAAAATATTTTAAGCCCTAGAACAACCACTCAGAAAGTAACTAGAAACATATAGTTCAAAATAATTTAAAAGGCTATCTATATGCAGAAGAATGAAGTTAGACCTCTACTTCATACCATAAACAAAAGTTGACTCAAAATGCATCAAAGATCCAAATTAAGAGCTAACACTATAAAGCTCTTAGAAGAAAACATAGGCATAAATCTTCACAACTGTGGGTTAGGTAATGACTTGTCAGCTGTGACACCAAAAGTATAAGCATAAACAATAAAAATAGATAAAACTGGCCTCATTAATTAAAAACTTTAATGCTTCAAAGGATGCCATTGAGAAAGTGAAAATACAATGTGTAGAATGGGAAAAAATTTTTGCAAATCATGTATCTGGTAAGGGACTTGTATCTAGAATCTAGAAACAGAACTCAATAATAAAAAGATAAATAATCCTATTAAAAAGTTGCAAAGGATCTAAATAGACATTTATCCAAGAAGACACACAAATGGCCAATAAACACATGAAAATTTGCTCAACATCATTAGTCACAGGGAATGCAAAATCATAGGAAGACACCACTTCACACCCACGAGGATGACTACAATCAAAAAGACATATACTAGCAAGTGTTAGCAAGGATGTGGAGAAACTGGAATCCTTGTACCCTGCTGAGGGGAACGTAAAATGGTTCAGCCTCTTTCAAAACATTTTTTAAAAACTGCTGAATATAGTTATCACATAACTCAGCAATTTCACTCCTAGGTATATATATACCTTTGAGAAATGAAAACATATGTCTGTGCAAAAACTTTTATACAAGTGTTCCTGTTCCTAGCAACGAAATTCATAATAGCTAAAGAGTAGAAACAACCCAAATAACCATCAAATGATGAAAGGATAAATAAAATGTGGTGTATCCAATTGAATATTATTCATCAATTAAAAAAACTGAAGTACTGATATATGCTGTGACATAGACAAACCTTGAAAACCTCATGCTAAGTTAAAGAAACCATCACAAAGGACCATATATTGTATGATCCGACTTACATAAACTGTTCAAAATAGGCAAATCTTTAAGAAGAGAAAACAGATTAGTGGTTGACTAGGGTTTGGGGGAAGGGTTGGGAATGCTGTTAAGCAGAGCAGTGCTTCTTTTTAGGGTAATGAAAATGTTCTCAGATTGATTGTGGTGATGTATGCACGACTCTGTGAATATACGAAAAGCCATTGAATTGTACACTTTAAATGAGTAAATTGTATGATATTTGAAATATATCTCAATAAAGCTATTAAAATACATTTAAAATAATGGGAGGAGTTAAAATGTTACACTAGAAAATTTTCAGCTACCCAGCCAGCTGCCTCCAAATCTTTTTCCATAACTATGTTGACCATGTTTTTGGATTAAATAACCTTCTGCTCCCAGATGATTCAATGTTCCCTTTTCAGCCATACATATCTCTGCCTGTAACTTCCATTCCTGCTCACATTCTTAATAGCTATGTCCCCTTTCTTGTCTACTGGTCTTTGCCCAGACAGTCTAAATTCATAGAATAAAGAATTATGCAACCCGGGAATGTTAGAAATGGAAGACACCTCAGTGCTCCTCTCTCCCACCTCTTCATGAGGGGACAAAGGCCCAGAAAGGTTATATGACTTGTCCATGGTCCCCAAAATACTCTGTCCTTGCTCACTTTCCCCAAAAAGCCTTCATTCATTAAGCAGATGTTCCCTTATTTTTCTACCCAATCTCTGATACCTTTCTTTACTGCAGTACTTCAAGGTATCAAATCCATTGATCACAGTACATCATTCACATTTAGATTTTTTTAATGTTTTTTATTTATTTCTCAGAGAGAGACAGTGTGAGCAGGGGAGGGTCAGAGAGAGGGAGAGAGAGACACAGAATCTGAAACAGGCTCCAGGCTCTGAGCTAGCTGTCAGCACAGAGCCGGATGCGGGGCTCAAACCCACGAACCGTGGGATCATGACCTGAGCCAAAGTTGGATGCTTAACAGACTGAGGCACCCAGGTGCCCCAATCATTCACATTTAAACTCAAATCTTACATACCAGAGGATAAAAGCAATTCTTTAATCTCCATGGTCACTACATCTGATCTCAGCTGCTGCACCTTTTTGTGTGTTGTTAAGAAGAACAATTCAAAATTCAAAGGAGGCTGGCTCAGAGACAACCAGAAGAACGACATAGGGACAAACTCCCTGCCTGGTTTCCATAAAGGACACCCCCTCAACTCACCTCACAGAAAACCATTCCTAAGGTCTTCATATAAAATATAGCATCTCTACATTTTTAAATGCTCTCAGGAAAGAAAACGGTAACAAAGGGCATTTACATTTCTTTATCGGTTTACACCTAGAAGTATAAACCTGGTACACCTAGAAGTATACCAGGATGAAAGACTAAGTCGCTTTTTAAAAAACAAATAAGTATTCATCTTGATGGGAAGCAGAAAAACCTCTAGGGGGGCAGGAAATTCATAAATCATGCAGTCATTCAGAACCTTACGCGAAGAGAAAATACATCAAAACCACACTGGCCTTTCATCTGAAGGGAGCCTGGTATATAATGATGTAAATCCATTAAAGAACAGGAGCTGTGGAGTCAAAGATCACGCAGGCCTACCTGGCTGGGAAGAGCAAAATAAGCTGCTCTCTAAAAGGAGAGGCAGGGCCTTGGCGTGTCTGGCTGTGCCTCTCCTGAACCAAGAACTGCTTGGCACAGGCGTCCGCGCAGAGGACCTTCGCGACTGAGGAGGAGAAAGGCAAGTGTAATTAAAGACACTCGATCCCCAGAGCGGGCACGTCTTGGGGCTGATTGAAGGAGTGATTACCCGATGCTGAAGAGGCGGGTTAAGTGCTGCCCACCAGGGAGCCGGGAGGCTTTGGAAGCCAGTTCTGAGAATTACATGCTGATCCGTAGTGCTTGCTAATTGACCCGGTATTTCTGGATGAAAAAATTTCCCCAAGGAGGGGAGTCAAAGTAGATAATGAGGATCTCTCAGCTCACAGAGCAGTTCAGCAGCAAAATCTGAGCTCTAGAGACTGGATATTATTTCGGTGCATAAGGTGGCAAGATGATCACGGACTGAGCATGAAAAGATTCAGTAGTATGCCTCAAGGTTTCCGCTGTGATTCTCAGCCCACACTCCCCTCTCCCGGCCCTGTGCCACTTCCGTTCGAATAATGTTATGAATTATTTATCATTGAATAGATAAGGTGTGTATAGGGAACGACCATAAGGTCCACGAAATGGGCACATTTCTGAGAGCTTCATGAAAATAGTCACTATTCACTGAAGCAGGGATCTAGTCATGTATAAGGAAAATATCTGCCAAGTGCAGGAAAGTTCTGGAGTTCCCAACTGTTGACAACGAAATGAAATTGGGGTGCACGTAGAGAATCCGAGGAACTTGATCATATGTTACTCTGTATACTTCTGCGTGTGCCTTTCTTACTATGATCACCACAGAGATTTTCTTGCCTTAAGGGCTAAAAATATACAGTTATCTCCACAAATATCTGGGGGTTATGGCCTGTCCCTGATGACCATGGATATAAAAGGGACTCCTCCCTGATATGATAAACTACACCCCAGCCCAACTGAGATGGCCTAGTCCAGTACTCCAAAGTCAAGATTTTTAAAAGTTTTAAATCCAGAAAGAAGATGACTTAGAAAGAAATGAAACCTGGCACCACACTAAATTAGTATAACATAGTTACCAAGTATGTACAGAATATATTCCCAAGCAGAAGTAGACCCTCAAACAGCGGTGATGAACGCAAACAGCACTTAACGGAGCCGGTATCCTGCACGGGCTCTGGAAGACCATGGAGAGGGAGCTAACCCTCTATTCAAGAATGTATCTGTAAATATTTCTTTTGTTTGTTTCTCTTGAAGCTGGGGCTTTGGGAATCCTGAACAGTGCAATGAGCCCTGGGCCCGGGATCATGGGGAAAATTCTCTTCTCAGTCCTTGACGCTTCGGAATATTCAGGAACAATCCCAGAGATATATTTAGCTGCTGCCTGGGGCTTTGTTCCCAGAAAGATTTGGGGGCTGGGAGTGGGCGACACATGACGCTGGGAGAAAAGACGTGCCTCCACCAGGCTGCTCTGTCGTCTCTCTTGTGCCACTGAGCCACAGTCACAGAGGGAGTAAAGGGACAGGTTCCCTCTGCATGGAGGAGCACGTGCCAGGGGAGGACAAGAGATGGCGGAGAGGACTGGGAGGCCCTGCTGAGCCCCCCTC